ATACCGAGGGTTGCGATCCCGTTGCCGGTCCCCGGTCCGGTACGGGGGCAACACTGAGGGTTGCGATCCGTTGCCGGACATGGAAAAAGACAAAAGACCAAAAAAAAAAAAAATGTATCAATGAATTAGTTAAAGACCCCTGTAATGAGTAGTATAGTGACAAAACAAATTGATTAAACTAAAGTATTTTTAACAAATTCTTAAAATGAGGAGACTGAATTTGGGCCCAGGTATTAAAAAGAATATGCAGCAAAAGTCCTGGTGGTGAATGTTGTTTATTTCTGAATATTAAAAGTGCCCGCTCCACAGGAGGAGAGGCTGCAGTCCTCTGCTCTCCTGCTGGGCGCATGGCTGTGTCAGCCCAGCTGTGCCTGGAGCTTCCTGTTGAAGTAGCACAGGGCGCATGTGGTGGCCAGGACCTGCGTGTGTGAGGAGTGATGGACAGGGCCTGCACTGCTACTTTACGCTTTCTGACGTGGAGGCTTCCTGTACTTGCAGGTGAGCGTCCCTATCAATGTCCCTACTGTGAAAAAGGATTCAGTAAAAATGATGGACTGAAGATGCACATTCGTACTCACACAAGGGTAAGATTATATTCTGCTCATTAATATTGATCATAAAAACCGTACTTATGTTAAAAGAAATGTATTTAACTTTACATGAAAAAATAAAGGTAATGCATCTGAAATTGTATGTTTATATTTATGATGGACATTTGAGGATAATTTTTTTAAGGCATAACAATGAAAAAAGAAACCAAACATCTAAACCCCAAAAGGGTCCCCATTCTTTGAATTATGAATCAGTAGTCAGGAGTTATAAATGACAAAGTGCCAAACAAAGACATTTTAACATTTTAATGCTAGAAAATATGAAGGTTTGTCTTGTGGAATATTTGTCCATAATAGGAACATTCTTGAACAGAGGCAAGTCTGTCAGCATTTGGCCATTAAGTAATGCTTATAAGCAAGTTTATTTGCAGGAAAGATGTTGCAAATAATGTAAATTATGAAAGAGTTGGAAAACACGGATGGATAGCCCAATGCTTTTCAGGGCATGCCCAGTGCTGTGTTTTATTCTTTTTCTGAGGGTGCCCTTTGTTCCGCTGCTGTCAACACTTCTTACTGGACTATTGTCATTCTGTTATATATGGCTTTTCCAGACTCAAGCATCTGTCTCTCAGGCTTTTAAAAATAATGTGAGCAGCTCACCCTCTATCCAGATACATTTCTTAGCTCACTATTCAATTTAGGGCACAATTAGCCACTTTATATGAACTATGCATCTTTCACTGCATTATCTTCACACAGTTCCTTTCCAGTTTGGCCTTTAAAAGCGCTTATGGGCAGTATATAAATGATATATTTTTTCAAATTTTAAGAGACAGGTCTAATCCCCTTAAGAGCAATTCTAATTTAGGCCTCTCTTGGATTTTACTTTTTACCTTACCTATAAAATAAAAACTTTAGAGAAAACACGTAATAATAATATCTTTCCTCGTATAATAATATTCTAGCCTTCCACTTCAGTTCTGTAGCATGTAAAAGATACCCTCTGAGGTGCTGTTAAGGAAATACTTCTTGTCTTCTTGGTGAAGAGAGGAAGCTTCTCCACTTACTTAAGCAAATCTATTGCAGGTTTCTCTTTCTGATTTATAATATCATATTTATATTATATGAATATTAAGAATTGGCATACTTACTAAATATAAAAGTACTTCATAAACCATAAAGGATTAGATGAATGTTACTGTTTGTAATAGTATGATTTAAATGTACAGTATTCAAAATATTTATTTCACGAGTATTACTAAAGAGGTTTAAGTTAATTTTAGATTAGTTTAGGAGATTATCTTATATGTGAGCAGTTGTCACAAAGGTGTCAATAATGTATTTATTTAAAATATGCCAACATACAAGCAAAGGAGCTCTGGTTCCTCTTAAAAGAAACTAGTAATGTTAACCAAAATTTGCATATTGTATTGTTTCATTTCACATGATTACTGAATACCTTCTGGATTTTCTCAAGAAAATGTGATATTTCCAATGCGATTAATTTATCTTTTACTTTGTTTTAATATAAAGTTATTAATGAGAATAATACAAATACTTAAGATAAACACAAAGACTACTAATTACATGCCGAGTAGTATTCTAGGACTTCAAATTTATTAATTCATTTAAGCCTAACGACAACTGTATGAGGTAGTTATTATGATGATCCCATTTTGAAAAATGAAAAACTGAGGCACAGACAAGTGGGAGATTTGAGATTTGCACCTAGAGTAGCTACAGAGACTACCTCTTGCCTACTGCACTTTTTGCCTTTTATTTATAAATATTTTCTCCTTCTGCTGATCCTGTTAATTTCCTGTATATTTCCAAATTAAACAAATACTGTAATGATGCCAAACTTAAAAGTCTAATGTTCTTTTTAATTTTTGAATCTTGACAAGGATCCCAACACTGCCTCCAAAGTGTTCAACTGTAGATGGTACCTTGTCAGAAGTTCTCAAACACTAACTGTACGAAAAGAAAACAAATCCCAGCCTTTGACTGTGGGAACCCCAGAAAATGCATAGACCAGAAGCACCCAGGGTTTTAGACAGAATCCCACACAATCATTAGAGGGCACTGTGAAAGGAACATGGTTAAATAAATATAAGCATTTTGGGTTTTACCTCAAACTCTTCTTTAATTTTCCTTTTTCATGAATTATTTATATTTTATCCATAACAGCTTTAGTTTTGAAATCCTATTTCCTAAACACTGAATAAATACAGATATTTGCATGTTAGACCAACTTTTCAGAAGTGTGTTAGGGTTATCAGCTAGTACAACCAAATTATTATCAAGAAACAAAAGAGATTTTTTTTTTAAAGTTCTAGAGGGACCATTTGTGCAAGGTTATATTTTCCCAGTATTATATGCATTCGTAAGACTCAGTTCAAAGAAGATACTGTTACATTTGGACCATAACATGTTTCAGTTTCAATTTTGTATTCATTTTACATTTAGCATTTAGATAGCTCTAATTTTCAGACATTTTTGTCCTATTTCAAAAGCTTTTCATTCCATTACAACAACAACAGTGATGACAAAATCTATATGATTAAGTAGGTTATATCTTTAGGAAGTTTGGTGAGCCTAAACAAAATGCTGTGCCAAGCCTGCATGCCCAGATTTGCATTCTGTGGTGACTGCATGAGCACCTATGGGAGGGAACACAAAGCCATTTCTCTCTGGTTACAGGAAGAGTGGGAGATACTTTTGCCAAAAGGCCAGTCATCGGTCTTTCTTCATGGAGAGGCCAGGGCATGACAGAGGCTACTGGCTTTTTCATTTTCTTCACTATGTTCTGTTTATTTTGGTTTTCAGAATGTTGGCTGTGTTGTGCGTAGATAAGCGTTTCTTTGTATTTGTCCTGATTAGATCTGCAGTCTGTTGTCTTTAGTTAAATTTTGGAAAATTCTCAGCCATTTTTTTTTCCTAAAATATTTATTAGGTCCCCTTCTTTTTGTCTTCTTATGGGATGCCAATTACATATACTAGAATGTTTGATATCTTCCAAGAACTTTTGCTTGCTCTATTCTGTTTTTGTTTTGTTTGCTTTTTGCTCTTAAATCTCAGTGTTTTTCTTTTTGTCTTTGTGCCAGTCTGTGTAATGAAGTTCATTTTTGATATTATGTTTTTCATTTCTAGCATTTCCATATTTCCATTTGCTTATGCATGTGGTCCACCTTTTTCACTGGATTTTTTGACATTATAGTTACTTTAAATATATCAACCATCTGGTCCGTCTTTGGATCTTATTGCATTGACTATTCTGTGTCTTGATTATGGGGCAGAAGAGTGTTGCTTTTTACTGTCACATAATTTTTGATTGAATGGCTGTCATTGTTTGTAAAACAATAGAGACTGAGGTAATACTATTTATGCCTGGAAATAGGTACACCTTCTCTTCTGCCTGCCATTAAGGTGAGGGGTTGAGCTAATCTAGTCAGCAGTTGAGCTAGATTTGGGTTTTGTTGTTGCTGTAGTTACCACAGGCTCTAAGTTCCTCCAGTGGTTGGCTGCTGATACCTTGTTCTTCATGCAAAGAATGGAGAGTCAGAGGGTCTTTCTTAGAGATTCTTCCTCACCATCAGGTTTTAGCAGATGCTATGTGCCTTTTCCACAAAACAGGTCTTTCTCTCTCTGCCTTTGTCTCTCCGCTGGCAGTAGTCTGCTGGTGCTTGTTATGCAGTACAGGACTTAGGTGAACCAGAGGGCTTTCCTGAGACTCCTGCTCTAGCATAAGTATTTGGTGGATTCTCAGTACCTGAGCATTGGGGTTGGGGCTTTTTCAGCCTTCCTGCCCCTACTCCAGTTGTGAGCATCCCCTGCCTCTGACTCCATTCAGGGTCTCTAACTGTAGTGTCCTAGCCACTAGCCATGTGTGGCTATTTAAAATTTAAGTAAAATTTACTTAAAATTCACTTTTTTGGTCACACTAGCCATTTTACGGGTACTCAATAAGCACCTGTGGCTGTATTGGATAGCGAAGATCTAGAACATTTCCATCACCACAGGAAGTTCTCCTGAACAGCACAGGTCTAGATGGCAGAAGGGTTTGTGGCATCCTGGCTGTGGCAGCTGAGCTCCGCTTTATATTAGTGGAGGGTTTGTGACATACGTGAGGCTCCTGCTCCTCTTCCAGCAGCAGCAGGCCTCTCCTGTGGGTCATTGGGGCTCCCTTAGTGTAAGTACAGGGTGTGGATGTATAGGCAGGGTCTGTCCCTTCCCAGAAGCAGAGGGCCTTTGCCTGGCACCAGAGTGCCCAAAGGTTTCCTCTCCCACCCCCAGCAGCAGATGGCTTCTGCCTCCTGTCAGAGCAGAGTAAGATCTGGGACATTACAGGTGTTTCCCACCTCACTTGGAAGACTTTTGTTTCCTGTGTGAGAAGAGTCTGTGGCCTTAGTGATTTTCTGGTATTACCTGGCAGTGACTTATCACCACCTTGTACTCATACAGGGACAGAAAGCAGATGGGTTCCTTCCAGAATTCCTTCTTCACCCTCAGATCTTGCCTATGCCACCTTGGGGGACTCTAAGGTACACTGCCCTGCCCTACATCCGTCTTACGAGCATCTGATGGAGCCAGTGGGGAAGGGATGGTGAGTGGATGGGGACCAGGATTCTAACCTACATTGTCCCTCCAGCCCACAGTGGACCTTTGAAAATTTCTGAAAGCTTCGCTTGTTTTCTTCTTACCCACTTCTGTGGCAGCTGTCTTGTCCTCTGTACTCTGACAAAGGTAAAACAGTTCTGTGTTCTCTTTGACATTCAATTCGCTTGGTTGTCTTGTGACCTTAGTTCACAAAATGTTCCTTGATCTTAGGCTTGAAAAAATAACTGTAAATTATCCACCCTTTTGTCATTGTTAGGATGGGGGTGATGTTCTTTGTGACTTTCCACCTCCTAAGAGCAGTAATTTGTTCTTAACTGATAACCTTCTTCTTAGTAGTTCTAGATTAATTTTCTGCTTGGCAGCTGATAAGACCTGAAGTCCTTTCATTCCATGTCCAGTTAGTCCCTCCATTCAGT